CCTATCATAGGCAGGATGGCCCTTGTAGACTCCTCACATCTAGTAAAAGGCAGGATCTGCTGGGACCATGTCAGCAGGTGAGATAAAGGAAAAATAAACAAACAAAAAATGAGTAGGAATACAGTGAGCTATATATTGCAAATAAGATCAGACTACTAGGAGTGATATGGGAAATCTCTGTACCTTCGACTCAATTCTACTATAAACCCAAAACTGCTCTAAAATATATGTCTATCAAAAAAAAAAAAATCCTATTGCAACAACCTCCAAAGCAATATTTTTTCTGACTACAACCCACGGTAAGTTCTATGGACTAAACTATGATCCCCCAAAATTCTTATGTTGAAGCCCTAGCCCCCAATATGATGGTATGTGGAGATGGGGCATGGGACCTTTGGGAGGGCTTAGGTCTAGATGAGGTCCTAAGGGCACAGTCCTCATGATGGGATTAGTTCCCTATCCTCGCTCTGTCTCTTTCACCTCCCCCCCATCTCTCCCTTGCTCTCCCCCTCTTCTCCCCTTCTCGCCAACCCCCCTCTCTGCTATGTGAAGACACAGCAAGAAAAGCGAGGTCAGCAAACCATGCTGGCACCCTGATCTTGGACTTCCCAACCTCCAGAAACGTAAGAAATTAATGTTTGTTGTTTAAGTAACTTAGTCTATGGTATTTTGTTACAGCAGCCCAAGCTACAGCAGTAATCAATATATTTATATAGAAACACAGTACACATGTACACAGAAACATGACCCACCACTGCATCTGATATTTCCTATTCAGTCGTATTGCTTCTTTTTTTTAATGCTGGTTGTAACAACTCTATCAAATGATTCCACAACTCACTAATTGGTTATGCAATGCAGTTTGAAAAAGACTGTTCCAGAAGAAATCGTTGTGAAATAGCATGATAAATATGTTGCGTAAAATTAAAATCAAATATATCTCAAATATATCTCAACTAATAATTGCTCTCTGTGTGGTATATGGGCAAAAGAAAATAATTAATTAGATCCCACTGGGGAGAAAGAATGGCTTGCCCAACAATACCTATCCTTGGTCCTCTTCTTCCTCTGAGGTTCTGGGATTTACTGTATATATAAAAGTGTGTGTACGTGTGTGTATGTGTGTGTGTGTGTGTGTGTGTAAATTTCACAGTTAGGTTTTACATAACTTGAATGTTTTGGAAAAAGTGTAGAAAGCAAAGGTTGACTGCTATTTTCTAAGAGTACAAGTTCAGATTTCTTCTTCCCCAGTCTTAAATTATTTTTAAGAAGTATAGGCGGGTGTTGAACAATGAGAACACATGGACACAGGGAGGGGAGCACTACACACTGGGGTCTGTTGGGGGGAAATGGGAGGGGACAGCAGGGGGTGGGGAGTTGGGGAGGGATAACATGGGGAGAAATGCCAGATATAGGTGAAGGGGAGGAAGGCAGCAAATCACACTGCCATGTGTGTACCTATGCAACAATCTTGCATGTTCTTCACATGTACCCCAAAACGTAAAATGCAATAATAAAAAAAAAAGAAGTATTTGTTGATGTTGCTGTTTAATAAATGTTAGGTGCATAGAGATTAGATAAAACATGTTTTTCTGTTTATGTCTAGATACTTTAACTTCTTGCTAGGAAGGGTAATAATGGCTGTGACATAGTCCTTTGCAATGAAATTCTACTCTATTTGTATTGGTCTCAATTTGTGTGAATCTTAATTCTTTCTGAGAAAGAACGCTAAAACAACAGGCAAGATTAAAGGCAGCAAGTCTGACGTGTGGTCTTCCCTCCATGGTTAAATATGTGTCAACAGCCCAATAGCCAGAGGTAAGTAGACTCCATCTCAATATTCAGATCGAACCAATCAAATCATGGCTAGTTATAACAAACGTAATGGAGTATTCCGTCCCCCACCACACACTTCCTTCACCACCTCCCCAGTCACCTCCAATGTAATGACAGGCAGTCAGAAATGATTCCAGACCAATGAAAGATTACTCACCTATGCAGCTGGGTCTTGGGATCTTCTCATTGACATGAAGGTACAGTCCTGCCAGCTCTTCCCCATATTCTATTGAATTAGTCAGGTCAGGTTTGGAATGGGAAATGCCTGCTGTAGAGAGAAAGATGTATGGTGGGCCTTGATGAATGGGGAAGCCGGGAGCTCAAGCTATGTTTTTCAAAGGAGCACCTTAGGCATCCGGGAAAATATGATGGCTCTGGACACTTGTAGAAAGTCACCTTAGAACAGCGTGTGGAGCTTATAAGACACCAGTACTCATAGGGTGACCTTGACAGATGGTAAAGGCCACAAAAGCAAGAGTCTAGGCAGGTGAACAGAAAGGTCTGTAGACTGCCTGGCAGGCTGGTGTGAGAATCGTGACTGGGATGCCACCAACGGTTGGTTGACAAGTGTCGTTTATTAGAAAAGAGAATGGACTCAGAGCCAGCCACAACTGAGTTCCATCATAACTCAGCCCACTTATGAGCTAAGTGGCAGTGGCTAAGTATTTGATCTGATACTCACTTTCATCAGGCTTAAAATGAGAATACCATCATCCATTTCAGAGATTAAAGAAGTTACTCCATGCAGTGTACCCACAAATAGTTCCTGGCACACTGAATACTTTCAGTACAAGGAAGTTCTTACTATAATTCTGCTATCTGCAGCTTGCCCCAGTTCCCAACTATGCCTCTAATGATTTCCTTCATCTAGCAATTGTAAGTTCAGCAGATGTCTCTAAGAGTGCATAGAAAATGCCTGTTTTCCAGTACTTCCTTCTCCTTCCATCAGGCTAACCCATGCCCTCACCTCCTGAGACCATTTTCCCATAGGTCTCCAGCATGAGATCCCAGTATTGCTCCTTTTGAGTAGAATCCAGGTGTCTCCACTGTTCCTGGGGAAAAAAAAAATACAGTACCATGACTCCAATGAGATATCATGACTCCAAATATCCAATGAGGGTATTTGAACCTGCCTTCCCTGCCTAAAGGAAAGCTGCAAAGAAAGAAACGTGCCATAGTATCCTGGCCATTGCAAGGCCTAAGAAATCCCAGGAGAGTGGTGCAAGGAGCAAAGAGGCCAAAGGGAAAACAACAGTCTCTACATCAGTATTTCTTTCCCTAATTAGAAAACGTCTAGACTTTATGTTCTGCATTTTTTCAGCTGAATTATTTAAAAATGAAGAACATACAGAGGACAGGAGCCTTTTCCATACTATTTGTTTTTTTTAAAACTCAAGTGCCTGTACTAGGGATCTTTGAACAGGAAGAGCCTGGTAGTCCCACTATTTAGTTAAAATCAGGAAATTCAAAAAGCAAAAGAAAGAAGTTAGAAAGGAATCTGTTGGAAAAGCAAGTGCAAATCAGTAAAATGTAGTTAGAGTCAACTGCATTGTAAGCTTTACCGTGAAACAAAGATTGGTATATTCAGAGAAAAGAGAGATGTTATAGCCATACTTGAAATCTCTTATAGTTCTGCTCTTAGAGTCTAACATCAGACAGTGAAAAACTGGTGGGTTCTCTGGAGCAAGGTGTCCCCTCACAATCTCCAAAAGAAGCCCTGCTTTTCCTGTGGAACAACTGACTGGGGACATAAAACTAGGAATACTATCCAGCTAGGGTCTGCTTTCGTGAATTCAGATTTCAATCTTCCACCAAGAAGTTGACTACTAGAAGCTCAGATTGTAGAGCAGAGGGATCAGCAGCCCATTTTCTGGAGTCAGACATACTGAGTTTTAAGTCCCTACCTTGCCACTTTCTAGCTGTGTAACCTTGAGCCAGTTTCTTAACATTCCGGAGTTTCAGGCCTCACCTAATGATGGCACTAAACTCAAACAACTGTTGGGAGGTTTGAGATAAATAATGCAAGTGTCACCTGTTTTCACTGCACACTGTACTTGTTTTATTCACAGAATGTATCTGCTTATTAAATATTTATGTGTATGTACATGTGCATATGCACACATGTAAGTATTTGATTGATTGCTGCCTCTACTAGCAATGTAAGCTCCATGAGAAAAGGACTCTGTCTGTCATACTCTCCATTGTATAATACCTTCCCAGTTCCCAAGAGTTCCCAAGACTCTGCCCAGGACAGAAGAGGCACTTGATATATGTTGCCGGGGTGAAATAAAGCCCTTAGCAAATAGGTCCTCAGTAGGTAATATATATTATTACTATCACATGCAGTCTCCCAAACTCACCCCAAGGGTTTGCAGAGAGAATTAAGGGATTCTGCACACTTTCAGAAACCCCGAAATTGACAATCATGAATAGCCAGGCTTCAGGGAACAGAAATGAGGAGAGGAATTACTAAGTCATCCTCCTACTGTACACAATATACTATTCAGGGAAGGCTCTCTATGATATGGTTTGGCTTTGTGTCCCCACCCAAATCTCATCTTGTAGCTCCCATAATTCCCACGTGTTGTGAGAGGGACCCGGTGGGAGATAACTGAATCAAGTGGGTAGGTCTTTCCTGTGCTGGTATCATGATAGTGAGTAAGACATTATCTGATGGCTTTAAAAATGGGAGTTTGCCTGCACAAGCTCTCTCTTTGCCTGCCCCCATCCACGTAAGATGTGACTTGCTCCTCCTTGCCTTCCACCGTGATTGTGAGGCCTCCCCAGTCATGTGGGACTGTAAGTCCAATTAAACCTCTTTCTTTTGTAAATTGCCCAGTCTCAGATACGTCTTTATTAGTCCGTGTGAAAACGGACTAATCTACTCTCAGTCCTAAACCATGTCTGCCCCCTAGCACATCAAAGGGAAGTAGAAATGGCTCAAGGAGAAAGGAGACACCAAAATGTTTAATTAGCAGGTGCTAAGCCAAACAAACAAACGAAAGAGAGTTTGGATGTTTTTGGGTGGAAGGGATAGAAAGCTGAAAAGTGACCTCAATTTACACTTAATTACATAGTCAACTATTTATTTATTTATTTATTGAGATAGAGTTTTGCTCTTGTTGACCAGGTTGGAGTGCAATGGTGCGATCTTGGCTCACCGCAACTTCCAACCCTAAGGTTCAAGCGATTCTCCTACCTAAGCCTCCCGAACTGCTGAGATTACAGGCACCCACCACCACGCCCAGTTAATTTTTTTGTGTTTTTAGTAGAGACGGGGTTTCTCCATGTTGGTCAGGCTGGTCTCAAACTCCCAGCCTCAGGTGATCTGCCCACCTTGGCCTCCCAAAGTGCTGGGATTACAGGCATGAGCCTCCGCACCTGGCCTACATAGTCAACTATTAACTATAACCACATTTTTAATGTGACTTTAAATTTTTAATTTTTAATGTATAAACAGCTAGCAATTTATTCTGTTAATCTTCTGTGAATGCAGCTATTTTAACAACCTCCTAAAAATAACCACTTGAGCAAACACTGCCGAATATAGGAGTTCTCGGTCTTTTTGGTCACAGTAACATCTACCTGGCTGCCTGGCTTGCTGACACAGGACCTATTCCATGAGCAGCAGAACTGTAGCTACCAAGAAGGGTACAAGGCAGCAAAGGATACAGCCACCAAAACCCCCAAGGGTCAAAATCAGCTCATTCAAAAACCAGAAAAGTTACTTCAGGAGCACTAAGAAGGTACCTCCAGCTTAGACACAAATTTACTCAAAGAACCGCCGAGAAGCTGGGGACATTCAAATAAAATGTCCTACTGAAGAGGCAAGACACCAGTGGCAGCCAGCTTGCCTTTTTCTCTTATTTGGAAGAGAAGGGAAAACCTAACTTTCTATCCTGAAAGACAGAAGCATGGGATTTGATGGGAAAATTCTATTTTTGTGTGGAACTAGCACCATCTTGTGGGTCTATGAGAAATTACCACAACTAACTTGCACTGAGTTACCTACACAGTGTTCCTTTCCTTTAAGTTTGAAAACAGAGGAAGGTGAATAAATGTATTGCTGGAGTCTATGTGAGGTTCTGACTGAGCCATGGCTTCTACTAATGAAATTCTACTGTGTAGTGGTAGTGATACCATATCATTATTCTGGCATTATTTATGAAGTTCCTCATTTAAGAGATTAGAGGGAGTGACTAATTTACAAATTCCCTTTACTTCCAAAGGATTCCATTAAATATCAAAGTCTTTCTGATGCAAATAACTGTTGCTAGTTTGGAGGGGATATTCAGATTGGGTAGGGATGACTTTTGTTTGTTTGGCTCGAATGGTTGCTAACTAAAATGCAGGGAAATACAGACACACATGTATATTTAAATACAGTTGTAAAAAGCAAATTGGTGCTGATGAAGATTTTGAATCCTTTGACTAAGTTATCCAGAACAGGTGAGGATACTCTGTACCTACTACAAAAAACAATAATCCTCTAAGCCTGGTTGACATATTTCACTGAATACCCAAATCTTTTTCACCAAGCAATGTCCTGCTTAACAATCTGGTTTCTGAAGACCTTGAAAGCAGGCAGAAGGGTACCTTTGATTCACTAAAAAGGCATGTCTCTCTGCTGCCACCTCCCCATCCACCTTCCCCCAGAGTAAACTATGAATCTGGTATTCGAATTTTTATATCTCTGAGCCTGGAGAGCTGAAGCTCAGACCCTGGTCAGAAACACTGCATTAAGCACCACCTACTGCATTCTCTATTTTCATCTTCTTCACTCTACATTACATTGCAAGCCAAGTCCCAAAAGGAGTTCCTTCAGTGTTTTAAATATTTTAATTAAGGTATACAGGTTCCTGAAAAAAAATTATTTTTACAAAATTCAACTTTTCAGAATTGTTAACTACATACCAAGATAAATCTATCCCAGAGACTTCTATGTACAGCAAAAATGAAGTATTAGGAATTGTTGGATTTACCTTATGTCTGAAACAACTGAAAACGGGACAAAATGTATGAAACAACAGTTTTCAGACATTGCACATTACACAGAGCAGAGCAGAACAAGATCCCTGAAAGTGGGAAAACAAATTCAGTGCCCTCTAGTTATCCAAACATACTGCCTAGACAGAGGATCCGGGCAGCGGCACAGGAATGGGAACCCAGGCTGAGCCAGGGATCCTCCCTGAGATGAGCAAAAGGAGCTCAGAAGGGAAGGCCAAGATGGTTAGAGTTGACAGGGTAGAAAAAATCTGAGAGGAGGAAGCTGTACAAACAGAAAGCTCCAGAGATCTACAGAGCACCCCCTCCAAAGTCTGGGAAATAGCCGCCCAAAAGAATCAGAGGAAACAATCCTCTGAGTTCACACAGTGCTGGAAACAGTTTATATTTCCACCAGGCAGAGTGGAAAACCTGGTATATGAAGGGGCATCAGACTACTCAGAATACTCCAAAGAGAAGTGCCTTGGCATGGAAGAAATAATACTAGACTAAAGGTTTCTCTGGTGCCATATAACAAACAAACTGTGTCCAAATAATTGCATCCTATAGAAAAGCTCAGGAACATTTATAGTAATACAAAAACATCCAGTACCCCACAAGGCAAAATTCACAATGTCTGATATCCAATCAAAGATTACCAGGCATGGGCACCATAGTAAGACACTATCTCTACATAAAAATTTAAAAATTAGCCAAGCATTGTGGCACATGCCTATAATTCTAGCTACTCAGGAGGCTGAGGCAGGAGGATGGCTTGAGCCCAGGAGGTCAAGACTGCAGTGAGCTGATTACACTGCTGCACTCCAGCCTGGGTGACAAAGTGAGACCCTGTCTCAAAACAAACAAAAAAGACAAAGATTACCAGGCATACAAAGAAGCAGGAAAACAATCTCATAATGTGAATAATCAATCTATCAAAACTGAAACAGAACCAATACAGGTAGTAATCCGTAGATAAGGATATTAATACAAACTTAACTATATTCCATATATTGAAGAAGCTAGAGGAAAGATTGAACACATTAAGTATAGACATGAAAGATATAATAAAGACCCAAATCAAACTTCTAGAGGTGAAAAATTTATCTAAAATGAAAAATAGACTGGATAAGATTAACAGCAGATTAGATGCTGTAAGAAGAAAAGATTAATGAGCTTGAAGACATAAAAATAGAAACTGTCCTAAATAAAACACCAAGACTTCAAAAACAATGAAAAATATACTGGATGAGATTCATAGCAGATCAGATGCTATAAAAGAAAAGGTTAATGAACTTGAAGACATAAAAATAAAATTTTTCAAAAAAAAAAAATCAGTAAGCTGTGGGACAACTTGAAGAGCTCTGATACAGATATATACATTATCATTATACACATTCCACAGATATTATTTCCCAAGCCCTTAAAGGAGAGAAGAAATAAGCAAGACAGAAAAAAAAAAATGCTTTAGAAATAATGGCCAAAAATTTTTCCAGTTTAATGAAAACTATACATCCACAGATCTAAGAAACTCAATGAATCCCAACTACATGAAATGTGAAAAATGTGAAAATTATTCCAAGGCACATCAAAATCAAACTTTTAAAAAATAAGAATACACTGAAAGAAGCTATATATACACATTATATGCATAAGAACAAAGATAAGAGTACATTTGGCATGATTCTATTTTTACAAAACTCTAGAAAAAGCAAACTAACATATGGTGACAGCAGATCAGGTTTCCTCAGGATGGGGAATGGGTGAAGAGAGGCAGAAGAAAGAAAAGGTAAAAAGTTTCCCCTTCACCTTTTTTGTACCTCAGCTCACCTGAGGTGCTGCTGGGAGCAGTGAGGTTCCGAGGTCCTGGTCTCTGATCAGCCTTTCCGCCAATCCGGCAGGCTGGGAGGCAGCCAGGGCTGAAGTGAGGAGAGGAAGTTTTCAGAATCTGGATGTCTTCCTTAATGACTCCCCAGAGGCAGCAGATAACAATCTTCACAAATCAGAACAATACCTGTACTGCCATCTATATTTCAAGAGTTGTGTTTATCTTCCTGACAAACGCCAACTCCCTCCAACCTTCCAGTCTCACCCATATTTTCTCCCACCTCCTTCCTCCGAGGCAAAATCCAGATGGTCTGGCCCAGTCATAAAGCAGTTTGACACACAGACTTTGATTCTCCAAACAAGATTGGTTTATTTAGGTCTACCCTGTTTGCAAACCTCTCAGGGATACCCTAATCTGAGCAGCATACCATTTCGACTCACACTTAGGCCTACTAATCACAGCCCAAAAATCTCTCCAAGAGAACACCATACAGCACCATCCTCACCTAATTCTGCTTCTGCATCAGATTCCTCTTTCACAATGTGGCTCAGAAGCTCCCCAGGCCCCGAGGATGAATTCTCAAGTCCCAACTCCTGAGGTACCACTTCAAGATGGGGCTCCACTTCCCCCACTTGGCTGCTTTGAGATTCCATCTTCTCTGATAAGATGTCCTGTCCTAGGACCTGGATACTGATCTAGAGACCATATGTTAATTAGTAATTACTTAAGAACCCAGAGTAGTGATCTCTAAAAGATACAAAGCTTACCCTCTACAACATATCATAAGAGTGTCTAGGGATGTGGAGTAGAGAAAGAGAAAACCAGCTTTTATTTCTAGTCCAGCAGGAACCAGGGAATTAAATATCCCAAAAGACACCAAAAGCTGAGGCCTGAACCAGGAGTGGGAGACCTTCAAGACATCCCATGAATGTTGTGCCTCTACTGGACATACCCCACCAGTTAAAACTCAGGCATCTATTGAATAACTTCTCAGACATTCTAGCCTAAAGGTGGAATGTGCTGGGAGATTTTACCCTCAATCCCCAATAGCTAAAAGGTGTTCAGAGTCAGAGAGTATTAGAATTAGGTGAGGTATGGGGGGGACCCAGATGTGGTATAACAAATATACATTTAGTCTTTGTCCCAAGTTCCTGCAAAGAGCTCCTAAAGCCCTGGTAATTTCCTGAGTGACAGGAGTGAAAGAAGAGCCTCTGTTATTCATAATGAGCCCTTCTCAACCACACCTGAATTTATGCTAGGCTCCTAGATAGCTTCAGTATGGGGGCTGGCTGCCAGAGGAACCAACCATGAGATTAAAGGGTTGGAACTTCCAGTCTCTCCCCGCATCTTCTGAGGAGGGGAGGGCAGCTGGAGATACTCAATCACCAATGGCAAATGATTACATCGAGTGTGCCAAAGTACTGAAGCCTCCATAAAAATCCCTAAACCATCGGGTTCAGGAAGCTTCTAAATGGTTAACCTCATTGAGGTACTGGTAATGTTGCATGCCAGGAGAGGCATGGAAGCTCCACACCCTTCCCCCTATACCTTGCTCTATGAAGCTCTTCTCTCTGGCTTTTAGTGAGTTGTATCCTTTATAGTAAGTCAGTAATACTAAGTAAAATCCTTCCCTGAATTCTATAAGTCATTCTAAGTAATTATCAAACTTAAAGAGAAGATGGTGGGAACCTCCGAATGTATAGCCAGTTTGTCAGAAGTACAGGTGGCCTCTGGGACTTGTGATTGGCATCTGAGAGCAGGAGTGGCTGTCTTGGATTGCGCTCTGAACCTGTGGGGTTGCGCTAACTCCAGATGGTTAGCTTCAGAACTGAATGGTTGGGTACTCTACTGGTGTTAGAGAATCAGAGAATTGGCCATTGGTATGAAAAGCCCCACCCATTTGGTATCATGAGTGGTATCAGAAAAAAGACAACACACCTGATGGGACCAAAGAGGAGCCCTGTTTCACTCCCAGATAATACCCTCTGCTTACCCATTGCCACAGTCTCTGGGGGTCCCCCTTCAAACTCTCCACAAGCGTCACTGCCTCTTCTCCACTTCCCGGACACTGTTTCCGCACCCACATCTGGATCTCCCCAGGCAGGATGGTCAGAAACTGCTCCAACATGAGGAGCTCCAGGATCTGCTCTTTGGTGTGAACCTCTGGCTGTAGCCACTGGAAACAGAGCTTCCGAAGTTGCTTCAAGGTCTCATGAGGCCCAGACATCACCTGGTAACGGAACTGCCTGAAAAGCTGGCGTGCAGTCTCAGGGCTGGAGAGTTCCTCTTGAAGGGCAGCATCTGATCCAGAGAACTGGGAGTCCTCGGCCTTCGTCAGTGATGGCAGCAGGCCTAGGGCCTGCCCCAGGTCAATGGGCATTGTCCGGCCTGGCAAGTCCTTTTAAGTAAAGTGCTTCTGAAGTGGAACTGTCTCTGGAAAGAACTAGGTCTTCACCAGGAATGAGACTAAAAAGGGAATGAGATTGAGTGGTATACACAGGAGGGGGACACATTTTCAAAAAAAACAAATTCATATGCCCTGCCCAAGAAGCCTTGGAGTCAACTATGGAGCTTTTGAAATTGCTCAATGGATACATGATTCTATTTTGAAAGATTATAAACTTGAAGCCACAAAGCAAACTACTGATACTGTACCATACCTAAACAGCCACCATCTCCCTGCCCATTTTCTAACGCTCTTTCTTGGTCTTCAAATGCCCAGACAAAATGAAGAATAAAATGCATCATAAGAAGTATTTTCACTATAGATTTGCAGGTAAATGGCTCTTCTACAGAACACTTCTATATCTTCATTTATATATCTGCATTCTAAAAAATGAAGCTGGAAAAAGATATTAGTGCCCTAGGAATAAAAGCTAATGTTGAAATATTCACATGCTTTCATAATAAATAGAAAGTTAAAAATAACAAGTCTTCCCACAAAGGTATAATGAAATTTCCAAGAGACCTCTTTTGAGTGCCATATTGAAACAGGTCTGTTTGAGAATTTGTGAAAAAAAACAAGTATCATACCTGACACTTTCAACCTCGGGGTTAAAGAGGATTGAGAAGACTGACTACCTTGAAAATACTCCTATAGCCTTGATATAAATAATCACTATTTTATGTGAATGGTATCAAAATTTAGAAGAGCACAACTAAGACAGTAGGAGAAAATTAAACGGCAAAATAATATTGTTATTTTAAAAGGATCATCCACTATTTCTAGTTAACTTTCTTGCAAGTAATCATAATATAGGATTATTGGGTCCATCCTTAAATGTTATGAAGAATTTGGTGGTCATCATTTCTCCCTAAGATTAAGCACAACAATAAATAAAAAAATACCCACTCGCTTGGGGATCCAGCCTAGAGATCAGTACAATACTCTAGCTTTCGGTAGCTGCTTATTTCTTAAGGTATAGGAAACAATGTCTTCATCCTTACCATTTCACCCAAATAATTTATCCTACATTGGAAAATCATTTAAAAACTAAAACAAAAAACACCAAATTTTTTCATTTTTCTTTTTTTTTTTCTTTGAGACAGAGTCTCACTGTGTCGTCCAGGCTGGAGTGCAGTGGTGTGATCTCGGCTTGCTGCAACCTCCGCCTCCCGGATTCAAAGGATTCTCCTACCTCAGCCTCCGAATAGCTGGGACTACAGGTGCCCACCACCATGCCCAGCTAATTTTTGTATTTTTAGTAGAGATGGGGTTTCACCGTGTTAGCCAGGATGGTCTTGATCTCCTGACCTCATGATCCATCCACCTCAGCCTCCCGAAACACCAAATTTTTCCAAGGGCCCAAGAAACGAAACAGTGAGGTCAAAAGAATTACAGTTGACCTTTGAATAATGTAGGAGTTAGGGGTGCCAACCCCCACATAGTAGAAAATCCATATATAACTTCTGATTCCCCAAAAGCTTAACAGCCTCCTGTTGACTGATGCTTTAAATAGTCGATTAACGTACATTTTGCATGTTACTGTATTTTTGTGATAAAATAAGTTACAGAAAATATTATTAAGAAAATTACAGGGCCGGGCGCGGTGGCTCAAGCCTGTAATCCCAGCACTTTGGGAGGCCGAGGCGGGTGGATCACGAGGTCAAGAGAT